GATCCTTTCCCTCTGCCCCTCCCCTACTCATGTGCTCTCCTTCTCTGTCTCCCTCTCTCTCTCTCTCTCTCTCTCTCTCTCTCTCTCAGAAAAAAATAAAATAAAATAAAATATTTTTTAATTAATGAAGTTCATTTATACCAGGAATTGGAAAAGAGAGGTGATGGTGAAAAATCAGATGAGGAAAATGAAGAGAAAGAAGGAAGCAAAGAGAAAAATAAAGAAGGCGATGATGATGAGGATGATGATGCTGCAGAACAAGAGGAGTATGATGAAGAAGAGCAAGAAGAGGTAATGGTCTATTGGAGGATGGTAACAAAGTTACTAAGCTTAAGGATTATCTAATAAGATTCAGATATATGCTATATAATTAAAATAACAAACCAAAACCAAGTTGATGGGTACCAGGGATGTATCATTATCACTGCTATCAATTCCTCAGTGTCAAGAGAATTATTATTGCATTGAAATAATGATACTAAACTGAATGTAGGAGGTAAAAATAACTCCAGAGGCAAGTTTGTAAGTGGAAGTCCACGAGTTAAGGAAATTGATCAGATTAGCTTAAGATTTGTCTACATAAAATTTTAAATCAGCAATGACAGTAATTAAGGACTTAGTCACTAAATTCAGAGTCTGAAGAGGAAATCCCTGCAATGCATACCATCATGTTTTAAATCCCAAAGTGCATGTGGACCCTGTCGGGGAACATGTATGATCCAACCTCAAGTATCCGACTGAGGCAGGACTTAGCGGTTTGGGTTTGGGATTTCTAACTTTTAGAAACATGGTGCATTTCAAAATAGAGACAGTCATTTTTGATTATTTATTTTTGAGTAGATTAACTTTGTTGGTTATGGCACCTTTGGGACTTAGATACCTCTTGCAGTAGTCCTAGGCTGAGAGTTTCTTCTCCATGACAGTGCACTTTGTTTTCACTCCATTATAGCTCCTCACATGCCACCGAATCTTGTCTTTACCTGAAACTGCTACAGCTGTGAAATCTTTATTATATGCTTTAATTAGTTTACATTAAATTTTGGATTTTTTTTTTTTTTTTAATTTACATTGGTGTAAAGGGAGAGGTCTGGATCCATTTTTATCTATCTCCAAATGGCTAGCCAGCCGCTAACCTCATTTATTAAACACTTTTCTTTCTTCACTGGTTTGAAATTCCCCTGTATCAGCTCTCAGATTCTCATTTCGACTTAGATGTATTTCTGAGATCTGGTTTTGAACCATCACTCTGCTGATGCAATTAATAGAAGCTTCTGATTATTAACATTTTTGGAAGAATTTTCCTGAGTATTCTTTATTCTTCCAGATAGATTTTAAATTTAAACATTTTAAAATTAAACCTGTCTCCAGCTTTCTTTCCGGATCATTCACTTTTTTATTCCTACACTCTGACATGTCTGAGACCGCCAGGCTCTCTGATTCTCTATTTCCCTTTCATTGGTTCCTTGTCTTAATTTCCTTCCCTAAGGGACCTAGACCCTTGCTCACCCTTTAACTGCTTTCCTGCCATTCCTCTCTTCCCTTGTCCTCCCAGCACCCACTTGAGATCAAAGTAACCTGTGATCAATTCCACTGTCTCCGCTTTTCCCCTCCAAACTGCCTATTGAGCTTTTTTGAGGAATCACAGGAACCCATGCCACTAAAACAACACTAGCCCCTTTTTGTTGGCTTACATGATTTCTCTGTTTCTCTTGTCAAATCCTCTGTCTACGGCAGTTATTTTAGATCATCTCTTTTCTTCTTAATCCCTCTCCTTGACTACCTTTCCTTTCACTCTTAGCAGATAATAGCATCTTCATACAAAAAATGAAGCCATCAAGAAGATACTCCCATAATGTCATGTCCTCTGCCTTCAGACTAAATGTCTTTCCTCCTTGTTTTTGTTTTTGTTTTTTTGTTTGTTTTTCCAGTGGAAGAAATAGGCTTCATCGTATTTGGAACTAACTGTCTTGCCTTTTTGGGGGTGGGAACCATAATCCTCATGTCATTTCCCTTTTCATATTTTCAATCTCTTTTCCTACTCATATTTTCCATTCATGCATTAAAACATGTTCATCTCTCGGGACACCTGGATGGCTCAGTCGGTTGGGCATCTGACTTCAGCTCAGGTCATGATCTCATGGTTTGTGGGTTTGAGCCCCACATCGGGCTCTGTGCTGACAGATTGCTCAGAGCCTGCAGTCTGCTTCAGATTCTGTGTCTCCTTCTCTCTCTATCTGCCCTTCCCCTGCTCATGCTCTGTCTCTGTCTCTCAAAAATAAATAAATGTTAAAAAAAAAATTAAAAAAAAAAAACAAACAAAAACATGTTCATCTCTCATTATGATTCCCCTCCAAGTGTGCTGCTGTGTCCTGGGAAGTTGTTTAGCTTGCTTCACTTGCTCACTGCCCTGTAACCTCCTGTATTTAGTTATTTTTCATCTGATTTCCACCTACATGCTCTTAAAATTGTTGCCACCAAGTTCACCAATAAATAAAATTTAGTCCTTATTTCACTGGACTTTTCTGCAACATTTAACACTCTCACAACATCATGATTAAAATATTATTTCCTTTATTTAAATTCAACAAATTAAGGTAATTATGGCATCAGCTATATGCCAGGCGTTGTGCTGGATGCTAAGACATAGGCAAACATTGTTGCTTTTCTGGGTTTTTGTGACACAACACTTCTGTTTTTCTCCTAGTCTGGTACCTTTTCGTGGTCTCTTTTGAATTCTTTCTCATCTTTAAATGTTAGTATTCTTCAGAGTTCTTCCTTTGGAATTCCTTTTCTCTCTACAGTCTCCCTGTATGCATCCTTATGCAAAGTTTTAGTTGCCCTATATATACCTATTACTCATTTTCTTTCATTCAGTGTGTTTTTATACTAAGTGGTTCTTAGAATTGTACTAGACACGGGGAATATCAGGATCAGATACAGTTCTCCCATCAAGGATATTGGTTTAGTGGGGAGACACACAAGAGAAGAGACAATTATAATATAATGAATAATGCTATGGTGTAATACCTAGTTCAGGATGTTACAGGGGTACGTAAGAAGGGCACCAAACTCCATTTTAATGATATGAAAGAAGGTATCTCAAAAAAGACAATCTGAAGACTAAATCTCATCAAGATGAAAAATGGAGTGGAGGATAATTACAGATAGAGGAAAGAGTGTGGAGAAGGCTTGCAGGCGAGGAGGGTATAGCATACTAGTGTAATTGACCAGGTGAGTCAGTATGGCTAGGCTGGAGGATGTAAGTGGGGGTGTGTGGAGACATGAAGCCAAAGACAAAAAAAAAGGGGGGGATCTTAAGTACCAGGCTGAACAATATTACCCTACCCGGAGTGCTGTGGGGAGCCATTGAAGGGTTTTAAGCCGTAGAGTAGTTTTATCATATTTGTATTTTAGAAAGCCCAGTTGCTTGGATTGGAAGGAGCCATGGTTAGACCATGTTTGAAAGTTTGTTGCTATGAACCAGTGGTTCTCTACCAGTGGTAATTTTGCCCTCTGAGGTATATCTGGTAATATTTGGAGACATTTTTGAGTGTCATAACTGGTCTTGGGGGTCATGGCGTGCTATTAGCTTTTAGTGGCTAGTGGCTTGTTTTCTAGACAAGGCTGGCTTTTGGAATGCTCTGCTTATAAAGTCTGCTTGAGGTGAGCTCTGTTGAGAGTAAGATCTTTCCTAACAAGAATAATAGACATCAGGATTCTAGTAGTTTCAGAATTCTGTGTTAGGCCTTAGCAAAGCACTAAACAGTTTATATAAATATATTTCCACTTTAATAGAGAAATGATACCTGTTTTGAGTATGAGGCTGCGTGAAGGATGAAGAGGGGAGATTAAAGACTTATCTATATTTATTCTTTACTCTTTTTAGCAGTCAATTAATGAAAAAATCATGCTAATTAACTTACTTGATGTATTGAGGATTTGATAAGCATTGTTTCTGAAGAGTAAATGGAGCAACTATATATAGTTATTTATAACTATATATATATGTATACTATATATATGTATATATATGTATGTATATATAAGTATATACATGTATATATGTGTATATACATATATATGTATATATATGTATATATGTATATATACATATATAC